AGTAGATGTCTGGTATATGCGTATATTTTAGGGAAAAGTACATAAGAGAAACCTGTGGTTTGGGCCGTTTTCAGATACGAGCATGTGTTTCATTTTTTAACTAAGTGGGACATGTATTTCAATTCTGTTATCATAGCAGGGGCATGGCGTCTAACACCGTTAGAAAAACTAACCCCGATTTTTAAAAGTCTGCAAAACATTAAAAGAAAAATACTGGGAGGTGCGTGATATTCGTGTAATTTCCGGTTGTATGTTTGTATTTTTAACTAGTTTCTCTTAGTTCTAGTTGTGGAAATTACACACTTTTGGTGTAATATTTTATTTTCATTTTTATTTGTAATTTGTTTAAATTAGGATTATTCTGAGCTAAACATGTCAAAGATCATCCAAGGGATCAAGATTGGACCTTAAAAGATCAAGGAAAGTGCAAGGAGACAAGAAAGATTTTGATTTGGAAAAAATACTCATGTACCCGGTCGGGTATTGCCTATACCCGATCGGGTATTCGCCTTATTCGATTGTCCAAATCAAATCCGGGAACAAATGATCGTGGGAGCAATTTTCGTGAAGATTTGTCACATACCCGATCGGGTATGCCGACATACCCGATCGGGTATGCCAACATACCCGATCGGGTATGCCCAAAAAAGTGACTTTCTGGACAATTTCCGATACCCGATCGGGTATCAGACCCTGCAGCTCCCAAAAGCCTATAAAAACACTCATTTCCTTCACAATAAAACCAATTCCTTCTTCCATACTCTTAAACTCAGTTTAGAATATCATTTCTTTATATTTTTCTAGCATGAATAGTCTCCAAATGAGGAGCTAAACTTCCATTTCTTGGTTTTGCTCTTGAAGCTTGTTGATTATTAAAGTTGTGAGTTATTTTCTTAACTTCTTCTCTTGATTATTAATTCTTCCCTTAATCTCATTCTATATTAATGTTGGAAGGTTGCTAAGTGACGATTAGTTAACGTTCCGACATTAATTATTACTAGAAACGATCAACGAACCGATGGTTAAACGTTGATGGTTTCACAAGTAAGTAACTTCGGTTTATTAATGCACAGTCGTGATTAATAAACTTAAGAGGGATTAATTTTGTTGGTTAAACCGAAACCGTTTTGTTGAGGTTATCAATCTCAATTGATTTCATCAAGGAGTTCAAGAGATTAAATGCTACTATCAAGTTGGTATACGGCGTTGTTCTATATTTGATTAATAGTAAGGGTTATTAATGAACGGTCGTTTTTAATAACTACCCTCGATGAATTGGAGATACTCCTCGATTGAGTATTCGAGAGGGGATAAGTTATAGATATAACAATGATCGACTAAAATATATCAACAAGTGGAAAGTAGCAAGGCCAAGTCCCTTTTATTCTTGAATTTAATCTCATATAAGTCGTTCATCTTCGTGTTTAAATTAGATTAAATCATTCAACCCAAAACCCCCCTTTATTTACATTTGTCATTAAAAAGATAATTATTCCTTTCTCTGTGGATACGAACTCTACTTCACCTATACTACGTATAAGTGTTAGTATCGATTTATTTTGACGCACCGTGACAGAGTGCTCGTTAGTGCGCCTTGTCAAAGAGACCAACAAACTATCTTTCTTTTTTTGTTTCCACCCACCATGTCACCAAAAAATCCGCCAGAAAAGTGATATTAACAAATTCATTTTTAAAAAATAATCTAAATAGAGCCTAAAAATTTAAAGAGGACGATAGTTTGTTGATCTCCTTGACGAGGCGCACCTCCCAGTATTTTTCATTTTATGTTTCGGAGACTTCTGAAAATAGGGGTTAAATTTTCTAACGACATTAGACGTCATGCCCCTGTTGTGATAACGGAATTGAAGCACATGTCCCACTTTGTTAAAAAATGAAACATGTGCCCCTATATGAAAAGGGCCCAAACCACATGTACCTTTTATGTACTTTTCCCTATATTTTACAGCTACTAAAGTCTGGTTTGGTATGGTCTGATTTAATCTATCTTATTTTGTCTAGTTTTATTTGGTCTGGGACTAAAATCAGTCCAAGTATAAACGTCCTAATATTACTCCAAAGACCCATTATAGGACTATAATCTTAGGAATATTTTGATTTTGCACCCCGCTTTTTGGGTGATATAGTTGGAATATGAAATTCACCGTGGTCGAATGTTTATTCCGTATGCCTGTTAAATAGGTCGCATACAAGAGTACGTACATGGGTAAACGTATTGAATACAAATTCTATCTACTCTAGCTATCTAATCATATGAACAAGAATTAGTCTAGATACATTATAGTTAGAGTCTTCCGATGCTGAACTCTCGGCAACCACCTAAGGGATATGTACTACCAATAATATGTACAATTAAATGTATTGGAAATATATTATAATAATTGAATGAGGTGGCCGTGTGAGGATAATGTAGCATAGGAAATAATATCGGCTAACACTCCCCCGCAGTCGGAGCGGAAGAACCACGAACGTTGAGACTGGATCGGAATTCATCAAATAATATTCTGGGTAAACCTTTGGTAAAAATATCTGCAAATTGTTGGCGCGATGGAATATGAAGAACACGAACCTCGCCACGAGCAACTTTTTCCCGGACAAAATGGATATCCATTTCGATGTGTTTAGTGCGTTGGTGTTGAACCGGGTTGCCGGTCATATAAACAGAACTAATATTGTCACAATAAACAAATGTAGCTTTGTGAAGTGAGCAACGTAGCTCGGTTAATAAATTCCGAATCCAACATGTTTCGGCCACTACATTGGCTACGCCGCGATATTCGGCTTCGGCGCTAGAACGTGACAATGTAGGCTGCCGCTTGGATGACCAAGAAATGAGATTATCTCCCAAAAAAACACAATAACCGGAAGTAGAGCGCCGAGTGTCGGGACACCCACCCCAGTCGGCATCCGTGTAGGAGACCAAATCTGTGAGAGAAGAAGAGCCAAGATGAAGTCCAAAGTGAACTGTGCCCTGAATGTACCTTAGAACTCGTTTGAGTGCATGGAAGTGGGGTTCACGTGGATCATGCATGAACAAACAAAGTTGTTGAACCGCATAGGAGATGTCGGGCCGGGTGAAGGTAAGGTATTGTAGTGCACCGGCAAGGCTACGGTAGAGAGTAGGATTCTCAACAGGGGGCCCATCCGAAGCACTTAGCTTGGATTGGGTGTCAACCGGGGTGCTAACAGGTTTACAATCCGTCATGCCAGCGCGTCGCAGGATGTCTCGAACATAAGTGGACTGTGATAGGAACAACCGTGAGCACTGCCGGGTAACCGAAATGCCCAAGAAGTATGTCAACGGACCAAGATCCGTCATGGAGAATTCGGCGGCCAGTTGAGAGATAACATATTGACGGAAGTCATCGGAGGAGGCAGTAAGAATAATGTCGTCCACGTATAGAAGGAGGTAAGCTGTGTGTCGGCCATGATGATAAATAAAAAGAGAGTGATCACATGTACTGTGAGTAAATCCTAGCTTGGCAAGGTGAGTAGCAAACCGGTGATACCATGCGCGGGGAGCTTGTTTGAGTCCGTATAGAGATTTCAAAAGGCGGCAAACATGGTGAGGGCGAGATTGATCTCGGTAGCCCGACGGTTGATGCATATATACAGTTTCTTCTAACTGGCCGTGTAAAAAGGCATTCTTGACGTCAAGTTGATGAAGAGGCCATGATTTAGAAAGAGCAATGCTGAGGACAAGTCGGATGGTAGCCGGTTTGACAACCGGACTAAAAGTTTCATCACAATCGACACCGATTTGTTGAGAGTTGCCATTGACTACTAGCCGCGCTTTGTGACGTTCCAAGATACCGTCAGACCTGTACTTATGTTTAAACAACCACATGCAACGAATAATATTGGCGTTAGGTGGACGGGGAACCAACTCCCAAGTCTCATTCTTAATTAAAGCACTAAACTCATCATCCATGGCGGTTTTCCAATTTGGGTCTTGAAGGGCGGTGATAGGGGAACGGGGCAGAGGAGATGGCGTGGAGGAGACGGTCAAGGTAAATATGTTTTTGGGTTTGCGAATCCCAGCACGACTTCGGGTTTGCATGGGATGGACAGAAGTGGAGGGTACGGCCGTGTGGTTGCATGGGGCATGCACGGGTCGTGACAAGGAAATATGATTTGGGGGGCTATTATTTGGTGGGGGGCTATTAGTTGGTGGGGGGCTATTATTTGGTGGGGGGCTATTAGTTGGTGGGGGGCTATTATTTGGAGGTGTGGCTGAGCCAGATGGAGTGCTGGCAGAAGATGTGGGGTGAGGTGGAGGATTATGGTTGATGGGGCTATCGGTGTGAACCGAATTGGGAGTGGGGGAATGTGCTGGAGATAAAAGAGGCAGGAAACGAAGTATGGGGTGTGGGTCTTCCAGAAAATTATATGTGGGGGTGGTGGGTTGGGGATTAGTTTTAAACGGAAGAACACCTTCGTCAAAAGTGACGTGTCGAGAAAGGATGAGCTTATTTGTACGAATATCCAGGCATTTATATCCTTTATGGTTTAGAGGATAACCAAGAAAAACGCACGGGGTAGAACGGGCTTGAAGTTTGTGAATGGTAACGGACGGGTGATGAGGAAAACAAAGACATCCGAATACCCGAAGATGGTCGTATGTGGGTGCTTTGTGATATAGGAGGTGAGTAGGTGATAGGTAATTTAGAGGTTTGCTAGGAAGAATATTATGAAGGTAAGAGGCCATATGAATGGCGTGAGGCCAGAAATGGGCGGGGACCGCGGCATGGATTAATAAAGTCCGAGCAATATTATTTATAGTGCGAATATATCGTTCAGCCGACCCATTTTGAGGAGAAGTATATGGACAAGAGAAGCGGAAGTGAATGCCATGTTTTTGTCCATATGTACGAAATGCAGAATTATCAAATTCTTTCCCGTTGTCGCATTGAAAAATTTTAATGTTACGTTCAAATTGAGTGTGAACATAAACATGAAAATTAACAAAAGTAGGAAATGCTTGTGATTTAGAGGTTAAGGGAAAAACCCAAACGTATTTTGTATAATCGTCAACAAAAATTAAATAATACCGATGGCCAGTAGAACTAAGAACAGGAGATGTCCATAAATCACTGTGTATTATTTCAAATGGGTAATGAGTAACAGAACGAGAAATTGAAAATGGCAATTTGGTATGCTTGCCAAGTTCACAGGAAGTACATAAAGATTTATTAAGAGAAGGACAAGGAATAGTTTTATTTGTTCTAAGAAAACTAAAAACGGGATCCCCCGGATGACCAAGACGATGATGCCAAGTAGTCGCCGAAGTGGTGAGGAGAGCTGAGTGAGCCGGATTGGATATATGTGGCTGAATAGGGTAGAGATCACCCGAACTATTACACCTCATGAGAACTGTGCCCGTGTGGAGATCCTTCACAGAAAAACCAATCGGGTCAAATTCAACAGACACAGAATTATCAGTAGAAAAACGGCGCACAGAAATAAGATTTTTTATGAGTGATGGGGCATGGAGGACGTTTTGTAGTTGGAGGGGGGGATGAGGGGGGGGGGTAAGGTAGTTTTTCCAAGACCCGAAATGGGTATGGTATTACCATTTCCAACCATAATGAATTGTTTAGTACCTAAATTAGAAAGAGAATTGAGATTACCCGAACTGGAAGTCATATGAGAAGTGGCCCCGGTATCCATATACCAATTGTCATCCGGTGGTGTGAGCGTCATGGTATGCATGGCGGTATTGACATCAGTGAGAGACGGAGCCGGACCCGATAGATGAGCCTGGTTGGGCCGAGCACCGAGAATACCTGCACCGGGAGTAGGGCGTGGTGATGGGGCAGTCCAAGGAGCAGAGGGATGAGGACATGGTGGCATGACCCAAGGTGACGGCGGCATCCAATAGGCCCATGGCGGCGGAGACGTCCAAGCATTAGGGGCCCACTGCGTGGGAGTGGGGTCAGGCCGAGGTGAACTACGACCGCCACGACCTCGTCGGGCAGAGGAAGAACCACGCCCACCGCGGCTGGATGGACCTGGACGTGGCGAGGGAGACGGTGTTGTGGAGGCATGGAGCAGTGCACTGCCCGCAGAAGCACCAAGTTGGTGTGCCTTGCGGGTTTCATCTAACAGAAGCATGGAACGGGCTGTTTGAAAAGATGGTAGTGGTGTGGCCTGCTGAATGAGCGACGCTATGGTATCATACTGTGCGGGAAGGCCGTTAACCAGTCGAAGAACAAGACGGTCAGGGGTAACTGTAGAACCAACGTTGTGTAGTTGATTTGCCAAGGTTTTGAGAGTCCGACAATATGCAGCAACATTTGGAAAATTCTCTAAACGAGTGTTAGAAAATAAATTTTCCAGATGGACAGCACGTGAGTGCTTATTGTCAAGGAAAATTTCAGTGAGGCGATCCCAAGCCTCCTGTGCAGTGGCGTCCGATTCGATGATAGTATGGAGCAGGTCATTAGAGATAGTACCGTATATCCATTGAAGGACTATGGCGTCCAAACGTGTCCAGAGAGCTGCTGCCTCAGCCTTGGCAGCGGCTTGAGCGAGAATTTGCTCAGGAGTATACTCGGTAGTAGAGGTAGAAGAACTGGCCGTAGAAGACGCAGCGGGAGGGATGATATGGTCGAGAACTTGGTAGGCGCGGGCGGTAATTTTAAACAATTCCGCCCATGAGGAGTACTCAACGTTCTCGATGTCTAAGGTAATGGGAATAAAATTTTTAATATTGGAGATAGCAAGAGCGGGGTGAAAGGCGGAAGCTTTGGTGGTAGCCATTAATGGAGAAAAGAAAAAGAAAGCTACTGATACCAAGTTGGAATATGAAATTCACCGTGGTCGAATGTTTATTCCGTATGCCTGTTAAATAGGTCGCATACAAGAGTACGTACATGGGTAAACGTATTGAATACAAATTCTATCTACTCTAGCTATCTAATCATATGAACAAGAATTAGTCTAGATACATTATAGTTAGAGTCTTCCGATGCTGAACTCTCGGCAACCACCTAAGGGATATGTACTACCAATAATATGTACAATTAAATGTATTGGAAATATATTATAATAATTGAATGAGGTGGCCGTGTGAGGATAATGTAGCATAGGAAATAATATCGGCTAACAGATATTGAACTTTGCATCACATTTTCAAAACTCTTGCACTTTGCACCCTATTTCCCCTAAAATGCCTTTCCATTTGCACCCCATTCAAGATTTTTTCTTCACAAAATGTTGTAGATAGGGTGCAAAGTCAAAAAAATTTGAAAATGAGTCCAATATCACCCAAAAAGTGGGGTGCAAACTCAAAATTCCCCAAAATCTTTTCATGCTCAAAATATGAGTAATGTGTGTCCCCTCTTCTCATTATATCATCTTCCTAGCTATAATCTCCAATAAAACTAATTTTATTAATAATAAAATAGTAGGAGTAGTTTTGTTTGTAATAAAAATAAAAATATAATAAAACAATTATTAAATTTATAATCAAACGTTATAAAATCAAAAATGCAGGTCTATTCTAAGTCAATAAACACCGAATGCAGATTCTTGTGAGCGTCTCTATACTTCTCCATAAGTTGGAGAAGAAGGTGAATGACCTCAGTTGTTGAGTGACCATGCATAAAACTGAATTGATTCTCTGAAATCTTCATAGTTCTTCGAAGTCTTTGCTCAATCACTCGCTTCCAAAGTTTCATGGTGTGACTCATAAGCTTAAATCCTCAATAGTTGGCATTCTTGTGCATCACATTTATTCTTGAATAAGGGGATAAGAGTGCTCTTCCTCCAAATCATGTTGAAGAAACTTGTTAACCACTCGACGCCTCTCTCCCCCAAACTTCTCCAAGCCTCAATCGGTATGCCATATGGATCCATTGCTTTCTTCCTCCCCATCTTCCTCAGAGCCTCTTTAACTTCTGTTGTTTGGATCCTTCTCACAAATTTACGATTTACCATCACAAAATCACGATTTACCATACAATCTAGTACGGTCAAATCACTGATATCTTGCGCTTTGTTCCCGTTGAATAGTGTATCAAAGTATGACCTTCACCTCTCTTTTATCTCCCCGTCCTCCATTAGTACCCTTTGATCAACATCCTTCACACACTTAACTTTTCCGATATCTTGAGTCCTACGGTCACGAAGACGAGCAAGACTGTAAATATCTTTTTCTCCTATCTTAGAGTCCAATTTTGCATACAATTCTTTGTTCATTTTTCCTCTTGCTTCCTTTAAAGTTTTCTTTGCTCTTCTTCTAGCCTCCTTGTACTCCTCTATGTTCTCGTCGCTCCAACTTTTTCTCAATTTCTTATAGCATTCCCTTTTGATCCTTATTGCTTGTTTTACCTCATCATTCCACCAAGATGTGTCCTTTATCGGTGGTAGACATACTTTAGATTTTCCAAGTATCTTTTTCTCCACTTTATTAAAAGTGGACTCCGTTGATCCACATCATCCATATGTGCATCATTATCAATTGACCAAACATCTTCCTCAAACATTTTCTGTGCAAAAGTTTGTTGGGGATCCCCCTCGAGCCTCCACCACTTTATCTTTGGCTCTCCTTGTACCTTAACTCTGCTTCTCTTTTTACCTTGAAAATCAAGCACAAGCATCCTATGTTGAGTGACAGCACTCTCACTTAGGAGATACCCTTACAATCACTGTAGCTAGGGGTGGACTCGGGCCGGGCGGGCCGGCCCGGCTCGGTACCCGGTCATGGAGCCGGTTCGGGCCAACCGGAACCGCCCAGTTCTCGGTGCGGGCTCGGCCCCCCTAAAACGAGAACCGGTCCGGCCGGTCTGGGCCCGATTCGCACCTAATTTTATTTTGTTTTTGTTTTTTCATTTTTTTGTTCTACCGGGTTGGGTTGGGTGTTTTGGGGGGGGGGGGTCGGGGGGTGGGGGTGAGGGGGGGTCGGGGATTGTTTACAAAAGCAAAAGAAAATAATAATAAAAACCGAACCGGAACCGGCCCGGTTTGGGCCCGACCTGGAACCGCCGGCTACCCGGGCCGGTTCCGGTTCCACCTTTCCCAAATAAAAGCCTGGCCGGGCCCAGGACCGAACCGGAATCGGCCCGGCCCGAGTCCAACCCTAACTGTAGCTAGTTCTCCAAGTCATCCGTACTAAAAAGTAGTCAATTTGGGTACTATTAGCTCCACTTCTATAAGTCACAAGGTGAGAGTCTCATTTCTTGAACCAAGTGTTCATCACAACCAACTAATTTGTCGGGGCAAAATCCAGGATGTTCTTCCTCGCTTCATTTCTAGTGCCAAAACCATGTCCGCCATGGATACTCTCAAAACCATCACGACTTGGGCCCACATGCCCGTTGAGGTCGCCTCCTATGACCAGTTTCTCTCCCCTTGGCACTCGTCGCACCATCTCCTCAAGATCCTCCCAAAATTGTTGAGTAATGGATGCACCCAATCCCACTTGTGGTGCATAGGCACTTACCACTGACATGATCTCATCTCCTATAATCAATTTAATGCTCATGATGCGGTCGTTCTTCCTGAAGACTTTCACCACACTCTGAACATAATCATGTGCCACCATAATGCCTACTCCATTTCTGTTCCTTTCTCTCCAGGATACCACAACTTAAAACCTCCAGAATTAATCTCACGTGCCTTTTCTCCAACTCACTTAGTTTCTTGCATGCACATTATGCTGACATTCCTCCTTTTCATAACCTCAACTATCTCAGAAGAACTTCCCGTAAGAGAGCCAACATTCCATGCCCCAAAACGCAATCTAGCACCCTGTCTTTTCTTCTTCACACCACATCGACTCACACGATGCCCTTACATATTTGACATCATCCCCCGGGCATTGGAGTGGTGCGTCGCTTGCGGGCGAGTGGCGACGACCTAGCAGCCTTAGCTTTCTTATCACCACACCCAGGCCTATGAAGTGTAGCGCGCCTTTGCATATTTGACACCACCCCCAGGCGGAGGGATGACACGTCGCTTACGGGCGACGACCTAGCTGTAGCGATATTCATATTTCGATTCATGTCATGTGATGTGACTAAGTGATATTGTTGGCTGTCACGCGCCTACCACAGTGCCCTCCTCCTTTATCCAGGCTTGGGACAGGCATGATATAAAAAAAAATGATCTCATGGCGGAGTTTACGTAAACAAAAATGAGAGTTGAGTTTAGTAATGTGATCTAGGTTGGTGGTAATGAGGGGTGTATAAGGTTTGTTAGTGGGTGTGGGATAACCATGTTTTCAACTTCGATGGAAGTAAAGGGTGTCAAAGGTTGAGTCTATGAGCATAATTGGCCGAGGTAAAGGATGAAGGTAATTAATCAAATGTCATAAACACTTCAAATACAAAGATACTACTCCGTACATGATATTTGGGGGGGGGAAATATTTTTAATGGAAATAGTTGTTCACTCGAACTTGATGGTACTGTAAGTAGAAGTAAGTTTAAAGATGTCGGTGGGCTTGACTAAACTAGTAGATGAGAGATTACTATATAAAAATGCATAAGTATGCTTCTGCAATTCAAGTATATGGGTCAGAGTTTCACTCTATATATGTCTAGATTTACTCCCAGTTACCTATCTTTTATGTCAATGCAAAGTACAAACTCCACAAACAAGAAGTGATGGATTAGTTAGATTTTTAGGTTCACGTAAGAACAAGTAAAATGAAGAGATGATACAACGGGTAGTTTAAAATAGTGAATACTTGAATACATCACTTTGTATTTTCCCTTGATTGAAGTGAAAATGATAAAAGGGACAAATTAATGAACTACAAAAAAAGAATGGTGGAAGAAACAGCATATTATTGGCACTTTTGCTCCAAGGCTTTTTTGTGTACTAATATATCCGGATTGAACCTATTGCTAAAGCAAACAAAAAATGAAGCAATTATAGACAAGTTTCTATATACATTTTGGTTTACAGTAATTTCAATTTAAGCTCTATTCAATAGATCAGCTTCTGAGTGAATTGTTCTAGACTTGGCACTTATGGTGCTATGCTTTTGCTCACTATCTCCTTTTTCCACCTGCTTTTGCTCAGTCACTTCTGTTTTACTCAGTTTCGGTGGTTCTTTCTCAGTTGAAGGAGCTACGTATACAAATGTTACATTTGAAACATCCTTGTAATCCTTCAAAGGTTCCAAAACCTTAACCACTTCGCTCATGGTTGGCCTATTCCTTGGCCGCTCGCTTAGGCATTGATATGCCAAAGCAGCCGCTTTATGTGCCCCATCTTCACAATACATTCCTTCAAGCCTGGGGTCCATTATACGGCGGAGCTTCCGCGAATCTTTCAAATGAAACCTCGCCCAATCCACTAAGTTCTGTTCTCTCGATGGCCTGCTCTTGTCTATTGACTTCCGACCAGTCAAAAGTTCCAACAGCACTACACCGAAACTGTACACGTCACTGGCGGCGGTCAAATGCCCCGTCATTATGTATTCTGGGGCTGCGTACCCATGTGTGCCCATCACTCGTGTGCTGACGTGTGTGTCGTCCCCTTCCGGTCCGTCCTTCGCTAATCCAAAATCGGACAGCTTGGCACTGTAGTCCTGCAAATGTAACGAAAATTGATCAGCTATTGAAGGGTTGAATTGTAATAAGTGTTGATAATATTGCTTAGCCTAATCCAACCCAAAAGAGGTAAGACTTGTTCATTTGTAAAAAAAAAAAAAAAAAAAAAACTTGTTCATTTGTACTATTGCAGTCCAAACCAGGCTGAAATAATACTGCCCGAGTGATTTTTATTTGTTTTGTATTCCTTTTCGGAAAGTTCTTTATTATTTGTTCAATTTTAAGTTTTGGGACCTTTTTCAGTTTCTTTCAATTTTCATCATTTTACACTTTTTGATAGCATATCCTACATTTTTCATGCGTTCACTACCCACACTAGTTTCATTGATTTGTTTAAGTTTGATTTGGTATGATCTGAATTTGTATGGTAAATCTCTGTTTTATATGTATTTTACTATTGACAAAGTCTGATTTGATCTGGTTTGGTACTAACTGCGCATTAATTTTTGAAAATATAGCAACTTACCGAGTCAAGCAAGATATTTGAAGCCTTAAAATCACGATATATGATAGGTTTTGCTGCCCCGTGCAGGAAAGCAAGACCCTTTGCTGCTCCCATTGCGATCTTCATTCGGGCAGACCATGGAAGCGACGCGGAAAATCCTGTGTATTCAAGAAATGTCAATAATATACGGAGTAGTTGTTATAAAAACTACGGAGTACTATAATAACGTAGAAAGTCGTACTCCATATTTGAGGTCAGAAAAGAATAAGAAGACCCTTGACTTTTCAATAAAACATAAAATATTTAAAAAGATTCCCTATTATGTAATTGATTAAATATGGACAAATTGAGCTAAACTTCCAAGTTGGTTACAGCTACCTACACCCTATTAGGGCTTTATATGTTAGGTGAGGTGATGGTTGAATTAGTAACTTTTGTTTTTTAATTGTTGGTGTGTATTATGAGAGCTTTTTGAGAAATATTTTATGGAAATTAATTTTATTTATATAAATATTAATAAAATTATTGTTGATCTTAGTATATTGTCATGATCAGTTAAATGATCGGTTAATTTGAAAATTGAATATAAATTACAATGACAAAAGTTATTATCGTCGTCATTACTATTGAGATATCACAGTTTTATTAAAAAATTGTTTTAGTCATAAATATGTGATTATAAAGGTCAGGTTCTAATATTGTTCTATAATGGAATGTCCATGCTTAACCATGCTTGTTGTACCACCGGTCCACCACTTTCTACCCACTTTATACCCACCTCTGTGAAGGCTATTTTTTTCTGTGAAGCCGGTTCACAGACAAAATATGTCTTTGAATTCCTTCACAGACATATTTTGTCTATGAAGGAATTCATAGACAAAAAAATAACTTCACAAACATGGGTGGGAACAAAAGTTGGTATAAAAGTGGGTACAAACATCATTTTCCTTATAAAATAGTTATATTTTTCTAACTAAAAATAGTGTTGTTTATAAAAATGTGATTTTTTAAGTATAATAATTATAGGAGTAGTATTAACTTTAATCATACTAACTTAAGTTTAACTTTTACTTAACATTATACTTGCTCATAAAATTACTAGTCAATAGTCATAAATGATGGAGTTCAAAGCAAGCATACTTCTAAAAAGATGATTCTCCAAGCTGCCTCTGGGCATGTATTCATAGACCAAAAGCCGTTGATCCTCTTCGCAACAATATCCGATCAGCTTCACCAGATGCGGATGCCTCAATTGCCCAAGACAAATCACTTCCGTCTGCAAATTCAAATCAAATTATGAACAATCGTCAGCTTCAATTCAATTGATTCTGTCTAAAGTAAAAATTACTACTTCGTATATCTGAACCGACTAATAACTATCCAATTAAGTATATGCATATATTTGAAAAGTGAGGTGTAGAGATCTCACCAGCCATTCTCTGTGGCCTTGAGTGCCGTTATCAATATCCAGGCGCTTAACGGCAACGGGTTGAGCACTCAATCCGGGTCGGATCTTATCGTCGACGAAGCCCTTGTGGACCTGGCCAAATCCGCCCTGGCCGAGGAAATTACTGGACGAAAAGTTGTGCGTGATGAGGCGGAGCTCCTGAACCGTGAAAATGTGGAGATTCGAGCCGGCGAGGGAGATGGAGAGGTCCTCCGAAAGCGTGGAAGAGCTCAAATCCGAAAACGAAACCCTCTGGAAGTGAAACTTAAACGAACTCTGCTTCTCAGCCACTTTCTTCGCCTCCTCCTGCTTCGGATTAACATCCGCTTTCTTCTTCACCTTCCGACACCCCGGGATACACGAACAGAATCTAATGCGCATTATGATGCCGGCGGCGACTTGCGTGAATAGGTTCCAGAAGCTCCGATTGACTTTCCGTCGACGTGTGGGGAGGGAGAAATGGTAAAGCACCTAAAAATTCAACCGGCGGGCGGACCTACTGCTCGGAACTGTCTCAGACTTGAAGATGAAGAAAGATATCCGCACCGGGTTGCATTTATAGTCGAGGCAGGGGAGGGGGGTTTTATTCCACGGATTCGTGTTAACGGGTCGGGTTTAAACGTGAGCCGGACTTGTTCAATAGTCTCGACTCTCAATAACGTGTATACAACGGAGTGCTAGGTCAGAACTAGGAAGTAATGGTCTTTCACTCCCCCGTTACAAATACTGAAGATCAATTTCTAACAAACGTCAAAGCTTCTTTCAAAAAGAAATAAAAAGGGATAAGGGTCAGTTTGGTCCTTGAAGTTGCAAAAAAGGGGTCAAATAAGTCTTTATATAGAAAATTCTGTCCGGACGTGCCATTTGAGGTGGCTCCCGGTGGAATTTTTTGATGAAATTTTTTGAGCATCTTATTCATTAAGTCTAGTTTACTCATACCAAATTTCAGATAAAAATTCAATCGGGAAGACATTCAAATGAATTCTTGAAGATAACTGTGCCGTTAAAAGCGCTGTTATCTTCAAGAATTCATTTGAATGTCTTCCCGATTGAACTTTTAGCTGAAATTTGGTATGAGTAAACTAGACTTAATGAATAAATTGCTCAAAAAAATTTATCACAAAATTCCACCGGGAGCCCCCTCAAATGGCACGTCCGGACAGAATCTTCTATATAAGGACTTATTTGACGCCTTTTTTGCAACTTAGAGGACTAAACTGACCCTTTACTCGAAATAAAAAACGTCTGTAATCTCGAATTTCCACTTTATTTCCCCAAAATATATTCGGGCTTGAAATGGAGTTTCCCCATTATAATTTTCTAATTAGGAAAATGTGTAAATATACCCTGTAATATGAATGTGAGAACATATATATTAATGTTTTATTTTTTGAAATAAATATACCCTTAAAGTTTATGTATAAGTACATATAAACCCCTGAACATTAAAAGGTACAAAAATATCTCTCATTTTCCTATAAATGAACAAATTTACCTTTTTTAACTTTAAATAAACAAAATAAATTTAAAATTCAAAATTAGAAAATAAAAAATTAAAGAGTTAAAATATGAACTCTTAAATTTTAAATTGAAAAATTATTATTTTCCCCTTGTAAATGAAGCACTTCAAATTCATAACTACGGAGTATTAGTTTTGGTCTTGTTGCGAAATTTTGAACTAATTGTTATATTTTTTAAATAACATTTTTTTATTTCATTTAACCTTAATAAAATTAAATTCACTATCTGGTAATCTTGGATTATTTATCATTACAAAATATGTCATTTTATAGTGCAAAATATACAAAAATAATAATGATTTTTTACACTACAACACATATATTAACACTTTTTCAAAGAATCTTAAATATATAGTACAGTTTTGAAATAATATTTTATACTAATAATATTAAATTATGATATGAAATGATAAAAATGGAGAACTGGACACAATTAGATTTTTAATTTTATTTTTATATGTCAATTTATAATTTATTTTTGGTATTTTTGAAATTTATTTTATTTATTTAAAGTCAAAAAGGATAAATTTGCCCATTTATAGGAACATGAAGGATATTTTTGCATCTTTCTAAAGCTCAGGGTACATATGCACTTACACATAACCTTTAGGGGTGTTGGGATATTGGGATTCGGCCCAATATCCGGGCCAAAATATCTTAAGGACCCAGAAAAGAGGACAAGCCCAAGGAAAACCCAGCGAAGCAAGAGAGTTCCTGAATGAGATCTATGCAGCTGGTGAAGATACCGTTCGGTATATCCCGAACGGACCAGATTCCACACTTGGCGGATAATCGACATCATTCTGCCTACTAACCTGGTGAGTCCAACAACCGATCAAGAAGTCTTGCAAGTTGCAGGGTGCATTTAATGCTAGAGCATGCATGGGGGTCACAAGTGGGTGCATGAGTGCACAAGTAGCAAGGAATTGAAGGCAATCAATCGGATTCGGCCACGTCATCCCCCCCCCCACATACTCACCTCTAGTATAAATATCAGCATTTATGCCATTGCAAAGGTTAGAATTTTGATACTCATAAGCAGTATAATCTCACTCAAGTTCTCGTATTAGCAATTGAACCGAGGTGCCGTTCGTCCATTTCCCTGTAATCGTTGTTATTGTTCTAATGCATGTGAGCTATTGAGTGCATTACTTAGTTAATCTTATTCTTAATCACTTCATATCATAAATCATCCTTAATATCTAAAGGTTGGTGTTGGGCCTTCGGATCTACGGGAATAAACCTCAACAAGGGATATATTTGTTTTAAAAAAAAATAGAACATTGATATATTTATTCTCACACTCATACTACAAGAGTATATTTGTACTTTTTCCCTCCTTTTCTATTATATTGCTTTCGTTCCTCTAAAATTATGATTAAGTAATGAATATTAACAAAGTGAAATTGTATGATTGATATGGAGTATTTAATTATTAAAATTTGAATGAAGTAAATACGAATGACCATCATTCAAATATAATTGAATATCGTAATAAGTTTAAAACTACAAAGTACGAACTCGATTAGTAATTCCAGAATTGGCTAAATCAGTTCGATCTGCTCAAATTGATGGAATTCTAATTGAAGCAATTGAATTGATTCGATCCGTTGAATTGGAGAAAGATTAAAATATACTCCCTACGTCCCTTTTTATTTAGCCAAAGACTAATTTTCAAGTCAAAGTTGTTCAACTTTGACCGATTATATATTTATGCACGGTAATATTGATAATATGAAAATGTTTTTTTTAAAAATACTATCATAAAAGTATAAATTTATTATGTTTCACATAAATATATTAGTCAAATTAATGGATCAAAGTTACTCATCTTTGACTGGAAAAGTCAAAGATGACTAAATAAAAAGGGACGAGGGTAGTATCTAATAATGGAATCAAGAAAAAGATTATGAAAAAAAGTGACCATCTATAGTAACTTAAAAGAATTGTTAACCAAACATTCTAACTCAGCTGATTGTGAGGTTATCGTGCCTAGTGGAGGTCTCGAGTTCGAAACCTGCTAGGCACATAAGGGTTCGAAACTCAATGAAGTGAGTTTCAGCCCTGATTATTCCAGGCTTCCCAAAGCCCCCCTCCCCAAACCCCTTGTAGTAAAAGAAAAAAAAAGAAAAAGAAACAAGAAAAAAACTTAAAAGAATTGCTTTGGAATTATTGGGCCGAGCAACGAGCCTTAAGTGGCTTTGAGCTCATGCAGTGATACTTTTTGATGTATTTTTTATTTATTGTTGGGACCTGTCTCATGCACATTTGGATTTAAAACTCTCCCCTGCCTCCTTTGGGGGGCAAAAATGGTAGTTTCTATTTTTAGTTAGCTTGTTAACTTAGATAGGGCTTTTGATACATGTAATATGTTACTTTTGGATGATATTTTTAATATATACTTACATTTCATCTAAAAAAGTTAAAAGAATTGCTCCAAATAGGATTAAAAAATAGAACTAACTATATTTTATTCTCAAAGTTAGACTTATTTGATTCTATTAACGGTATAAAGTTCTCCCAATTATGAGTGAATGGGCTTTGTTTTGGAAGAAAGCATCAATATTCTATTTGTGCACTTTATCTATTTTCTTGTCATCTTTAAACAAAGTAACTAAAAGTTACTTTGTTTAATAAAAAAATTGGTTCAAGATTGATAAGTTAAAAATAAGAGTTATCAAATGAATTAAAATATGTAACACCGTCCCCAAGTATATTTACTTTTGTGTAAATTATGTATTGAACCTTATGAAATGGTTAATGAATTTACGAGGTTGTAAATTTTTGTTAATTCTTTTGCGTGAATAGTAAAGTGCACGTGGGGCCCACACGGGAGCGGGGACCACCCGATATTCCCGAGACCGCATATTTCATTCATCTTGGTATAATAATAGTTATATGGGGGTGGACATTTACTTTGGGCCATAAGAAAGGCATTGGGTTGACCGATTGGTCAAACGAGGCCCAATTACCGGTTTTGGGTAATTTATCGGATAACAGTCCGAAATGGATTTCGGGGACTTCCAAATTAAAGTTGGGGAATGTATAATCATCCTAAAGGCCCATTATGATGGGAAGTAAGTGTTATATTTTATTTGACCCAATAAAATAAAATATAATTAAAACAGTCCAGGAAATGCAACTTTCGGGACCAATTGTACACATCGGGACACAAATGGATGACCTCCCACATGAGTGGGGGCCATCCCACGTTTTTGTGCTAAACAAAGACAATAGAGGGGCTGCACAACATGGGTTGACATTGGAGGAAGGTGATGGGTGGGTGAGAAGTGACCAAATGTGGCCCAACTCTCTCACTCATTTGCCTATTGAGACAAAGAGGAGTACCCTCACCCCCTCAACTTCTTCCTGCGGCCAGAGCATCCCCAAGAGAGAGAGAGAAACCTCAAACCACCATTTCTCCATAGCCAAGTGAGCTCAAGGAAGCAAGAAGCTTAGGGAAGAAGAAGGAGTTGTTAAAGTGGAGAAAACCCTTGAAAGTAAAGGTAAGAAGCTCCATAACAACTTTCCTTCCATATTTTAATTCTCATATGACTTATATATCATATGGAGTATCCTTAGGGGTGGTCTACACGTGAGAAGTGTGGATTGAGGGGTTGAAGGGTCGTTCTAAGTCCAAGAACGGACTTGGAGGCCAAAACGACCGGTTAGCCGGAAAATAACCTTTTAAAGGTTATTTGTATTGATATGGGTTTTGTGATGATAAAACCATGTTAGGAACGTGTCAAGGGTGATTTGAAAGCTTTCACAAGGTTGAAAGAGTCGCCGGAGTTGTCACCGGAGTTCGTCAAAGTTCACCGGAGTTTGGCCGGAGTTCAACCGAGAAGGGTAGAACTTCATCACGCTCATTCGAGGTGAGTGGACGGCTTAATGTCTTATAACTCTTGGGTTAATTATGAGATTACCTAAGTAAATGTTATATGTGTTCATAATGATGTTTAAAAGATGCTTAAACATGTGATTATCCAAAGTGATTAGATTTATATGTATGACCCATTGATATCATAAATG